AGCCATCTTGAACCCAAGGCAACAAAGCAGTTATCAATCGACAGTTTCGTTGTCCAGAAAGCCACACCTACTCCTCGATCGGCTCGCGAGGCGTGGCAGCAATGGTTTGTGGAGGACACCGAAAACGGCTTAATTTGCGCGCTGAAGTACTACACTAAGGATATCATACAATTCGATAGAATGAAGTACTCTGAACGGCATACGTTGGCGATGGCGTTTAGCAAGTACCAATTGTTCGATCAATTTGAAGCCTCGTACACGGGCTTCACAAATTCGTTCGCGAGAATCCTCAAAGAAGTTCGGCGTAGAAAGCAAATTGGTACAATGTAATACATTTTTTCTTGTACTTTGTTTTGAATTATGGGGTGACAGAACACGGGACTTACTGTTAATTGGTGGCTAATTGAAGAATTACTAATTGATAGTTGGAAAATGATGAATTGAAGTGCATAGGTAAGCTTGATAACAACCTTTGTTACTCGTTATTCTACACTCGCAACTTCAGCTATCCACACAATAGATGAGCTCGGGGTAAATGTTAGAGTGAGGAACCTCAAACTGCCGACCATCCTAGCCCATAAATATGCAACACTGCAACACTTGGTAACCATGGAAAACCATTCAAGAAGTCTGAATACCGACCAATGCAGACTGAAAACCGTTCGAGCACTTTGGCATTATCAACCAGCTGTCCAACAGATGGTGGGGTGAAATGGGGCTGTGCACTTCCTTATGAGTACAAATACATCACATATCCTGACAAAGGTAATCCTTGTTCATAGCATATCCATTTGTGGAGTGTGTTGATGACACCTTCCATATTCCAATATCTACTCAATGTACTGAAGGGTATGCGAATATATGGCATATCAATTTGTGAACTACTGCGAATCGTTATCTATCATTTAGGCATGAATTATTATGGCATTTGAATATGAGAGGTTTAACTTTTTGACCGAAGTCTCAAGAGGCCATCCCACATATGAAGGATTTAGCCCTATTTGTCGAACCCGCGGTAAAAGGCGAAAACTCGTGGGAAGGGGGGTTGGATCATTCCCTGGGCCCGGCTAACCATGTCACAAAAAGCGTTTAAAACTCAAAAGCCTACGTGATGCTATATTTTAGAAATCAATTTATGCAGGTAATCCGGATATACGATTCTCCACCAGACATCATCGGTTTCATGGAGGATATATGGGAGGAGTCGCGATGTGACACCCACCCCCTAGGAGGGGAATATCTCCAATGTGTTTAAACTATTTGTGATGATGTTATCCCAACTTTACAACGCGCATCGCAGAAAGTTTAGGCTAGCGCAACGCCCCTTGTCGGCCGTTGCGTGTAAATGTCTACAAGGCCGGTTGAATTAGTAAACAAGTACTATTAATTACACTACTATATACCAGCAAGTTCAGTATACATTGCATTACTACATGCCGTACCTTCGAAGTGCTTGGAAAGCTTGGTGGGGTGTGGTACACCTGCCGATTGCAACAGTCCCCTCCGAGCCACTGATCTTCAAAGTACCGGGTGAAGTTCTTCGACACTAGAACCTCGCACCCTCCCGATGCAGCTTGCGCCTCGTGCCAATACAAGTCGCAATCAGCATTGCTCCTGCTGTAATGCAATCGGTACAAGTGCCGTAGCATCAGGGCGATGACACGCGGCTGAACTGCACCCAAATGCTTGTACAGACACGCGACACAGTGGTAGAAACGCAGCAAAAGTGTTTTGACGTTGAGTTCGGGAATCTTCGTTGCAGCAACAGGAGCCAAGGCAGCATCGGCCATGACGTAGGTCGAGTTGGAGGCGACAGTGGACAACTTCCGCGTACGCTGACATCAGTGCCTTCATGGCCCATTCATACTCGTTTGTGAATTCTTTTCCGATCAAGAAGAAGTCGACGGGATGTAACGTGCCGCCAGGGTCTGTGATTCCGCAAATGAGCAACGGGTAGGCCATCGAGTTTATCTTGTACGCTGCGTCCCAATGAAAGCCTAACGTCAACCGGTCGCGTTCCATGGTGCGTGGCAGCGTCTTGGTGGTAATACCAACCTTGAACACTCCAGTTCACCGTAGCCAATATCCGGGGCACCATCGATGACACTGAATCCAAAGGAGAAGAACTCGCTGTCACACATTCGGGGATCCAATCGGCTCGCCATGAGCAACTTGGCCATCTCCGCGGGCTTGCTGTGCTCGCTGAGAGTCTTTCACATGCCGATGGACCCTTGATTTCATATGCAGATGGGTACGGTATTACTCATGCAGATGGACCCGTCATATGCAGGTTGATCTGTCATTTAACACGCTGAATGACCATTCAAGTTACATGCAGTCGTTTCACATGTAGTTTGACCGGTTATTTTTCATGTTCAGATGCAGATAGACGCTATAAATCAAACGCAGTCATTTCACTTGCCGTTTGACCACTAATTTCACATGTAAAGTGTTTGTCATTCCAGTGAGAATGTACCTGTGTTTGCGATGGCCAATTTGGCACTTGTGCGGTCGAACGAATCTCCAGAGTCTGCACGAGACATCTGATATGCCAAGCGTTCGTCGGGTGGCGTCAACCACAACCTAGAACCACAACCCAGCTGTGCTTTTGATGTTTGCGACAATATGCCGCATACAGTAGCGATGGGCACAATGCGGAAGAACTTCACATGCATTGATGAGACCTGCAACATCATCAATAAATATGTGCAGAATTTAATGCTGTGTCACCCTTCAGACGATCAGACAATACGACGGGATTGTTGTTGAAGAGACCCGCGGCGACAAGCTGTCGCAAGAACCATTTCCAGTTTGGAAGTACGTGTGTGATATTTACGATAACATGATTCATACGTACCAAGGATTATTATCCCGTTGTTGGGTATTTCGTTGTGGCAACCAGAAGAACGCCATTTATGTTCATCAGGTCCTTGAGGTGCGCCCCTTCAATATTTGATTACAATATAGCACACATTAAACTATGTATACTTTTTACCGTCCAATGCTATGATCGGCTGACATTGGCTTACCACCCGAACGCAATATCCTGGGATGAAAGCACATCTGTAGATGTGCCCACAGTGTGTTCCACCTTTGTTACGGTATCAGGATTGAAAGCTTAAACATTGTTGAAGTACGCCTCGGTCTTTTCGAAGGAGGCGCCAACGCCACCGTACAACTGATTTACGAGCGCCATTTTCGCTCGGCTTGCTGCTGACTAGAAATGTCGATTCCAAATGTCGACTTGACATGGCCACGAATTTATTTTCCTGTGATCTTGCGAGGGTTGCTAGTTGATGTGGAACAACTTTGCTGCACGACTCCGATGATCTATTAAACATAC